GTTATAGGTCAGAGTGTTATAGAAACTGCTGACCTACTGGGATTTTCCCACACAACCATCTCTAGCGTTTACATAGGCTGGTCTGAAAAGGAGAAAATATCCAGTAAGCAGCAGTTCTCTAGGTGAACACGCCTTGCTGATGCCAGAGATCAGAGGACAATGGGCAGACTGCTTCATGCTGATGACAATAGTGACTCGGAAAACCACTTATTATAACCAAGGTCTGCAGAGAAGCATCTTTAAATGCACAAAATCCCGAACCTTGGGCTACAGAGGCACAAAGACCACTCTAGGTGCCACTCCTGTGAAGAAAGTGAAGTTACAACTTGAGTCTCAAATCCTCCTGCAACATTCAGATGGAACAACCTAGAAGTGTGGATTTGTCCTCCCTTATATCGGCAGTTCTGCTGGTGGTGTAATGTGTGGGGGATACTTTCTTGGCATACTTTGGACTCCTAAGTATCATGTGACCATGTCCATCCATCTATAACCACAGTATCTTAAATCATCACAAAGAGAGTGGTGAGGGAGGCAGAGCCTATTATGGGAAGTGAGTTTCCTTTCTTCCAGAAGATGTACGAGCACTGATGCACTGCCCAGCCAACGGTTCATCAAAGGCGCTCACAACCTTAACCGCAACCTGTTCCAGGCCTGTAAGAACTCACATGAGCTATTTTCCTGGACAAAGTATGACTGTTTATTAATTAATTAATTGCCAGACGTATGTTCTTATATTTTTGCATTTGCATATATCTAAAATATGGTGTCTTATTAATTGTGATCTGCTAAAACATTTTCACCAACTTCTTACTTTTGAAAATCTGTGATGACAATAAAACCAGGTGAGAGTCTGAATCTGAGTGGGCTTCTCTGTGCGTATGTGTAAAAACTGGTAACGGGAATAGTAGCAGTAATAGCTGCTAAGATATGAGGTGTGATCAAACATCAAGCTCTGTTTCCAAATGACCTGAATTCTCTATAGAGGATCACAAATGGTGATGAGAGCTGGTTCAGCAGCTACAAATAAGCAGTTTTCATTGAACCCGATTCCAAACCCCCATAAAGACTGCATGTGACGACCTCCCCTGTACCGTCAATGACTAGTTTTGACATCTCAGTATAAATCAATAAAGATTAGAACAGGTTCCAGGATTTTTCAAGGGTAGCCCTGGTAAGCTGTATAGGCAGAGATCACCGTCACTAACTTCTAACGCACACGCAGTCGTTTTGTTCTGGAAAGTTTGTTCTTTTGTGCCTGAAATATGGAAACCACTCAGTTTAGAAAAGAGAAACACGGGTTACTTCTAGTAGACATTTAAGGGGGAAAGAGTTAAAGGGTTAGGATGTCAGCTGAGAAGCAATACCAGGAGCCTGTACTCCTGACATCATCGTCATGGATGGACTTCGGCTGTAACATTATGAGTTGTCTGAAGTAAAATATCTACACTGTCGTGCACACCATTGTGAGGTTTTTTTGCAGATACCAACATAATCATCGGTCGCTATTTGGACCATTTGCCGCATTTGCCTCCCTGCAGGTTTGGCCAAAAACAAAAGTCAAGTTTAAGAATCTCGATTGTGACAAACATTGCATATCCAGTGCCCACAGCAGATACACTGGGTCCAGTGTTTTTGTTTAGTTTATTTGAATCATCTATTTGGACTGTGGTTTGTAAATGGTTTACATTTACTTCATGTATGTTTTGGTGTATTTAGTGCTGCTACTTGCTCCTGGTTGCTTTAGAGTTTATTCCTCCCTCATTGTTTAATCCTCTCGTGTCTAGGCTCCCATGTTTATGCTGCGTTACAGATACCTCAGAACTCAGATGTTGGGAGTTAGCGTGCTCTTGAAAAAGTGAGGAAAAACAGGATTTGATTTGGTTCCTTAGCAAGGTAGAATCATTCAGGTATCCCTAGCAGTAGAGCACAATATATATATTCTTTTGCACTTAAACACATTCATGACTAGAGCCTGGTCAGTGCTCTGCATATAGCTTATTGAGTGAAACATAAATGAACAACAGTGACGTTACAGGATAAAAGTTTAAGTTTTACCTCTGTTTATATTCAGTGGCACCATCTTGCATTGTTAACTCGGGGTTGCTGTGGCTGCTTCGTCTTTCTGAGTGGGAAATCTGAGGTAGAGGGACTTTCCGCGTTTCACAATGGGAACTTGGAAATTCAGATTTTCCCAGGAACTCACTGTTAGTTAATTTGTGTTTCTGCATTTCCTGTTATCACACTTGCTGTTTTACTTTGAGAGTCAGTGTTCTTGGTGCTTTGCTTTTAGTTTTGCTTCCTTTGTCTTTTCTCCTGTGATTTAGTTCTCCTGTGTCTCCACTTCCCTAATCACCCTGTGTCTATCTATTGTGTCTGTATTAACTTGTCCTTTGTTGCATCCTCCCACGAAGTAATATCTTTTCCTTGTTCCACGTCTCCCCAAAATTCCTAGTTTTTGATTGTTTGTTTCAGCTCAGCTCATGCCCTGTTTTTTATGTTCTAATGAAGACGTTAATGCTTGCTGTCAAAGTGTAACAGGCGCAAGTATAACAGGACATCTAAAAAAAAAAAAAACCCATCTAAAAATAGCAGTGGAACTGAAAATGGTCCAGATGTGCAGGACAAGGTGAACTTGAAACTGACATGGGCAAAATTTAAATCAGGTATGGACTGCTCTCCAAAGTTTTTCTTGCACAAGCCCCCTGCTAGATATGCTCCCACTGGGCATGTGCAGACTGATGGTGGTGAGACCACAGTTCATAACAAGCAGAAGTCAAGGTTCTTAGCATCCAGCAGCCTTCTGGTCAAACACTCCTCTATGAGTGTTACATGCAATATAAATCACTGTCGACCTGCTGCACTGCAACCCCTTGCTGCTTCTTTCTTCTGCTTCATATTCAGACCCATTGATACTAACGCGGTTTCCTCGCTCAGCCATCATTTTGCTGAACGGCACATGAGAGAGAAAATGGAAGCCCTGCGATCGTGCGCAGTGTGTTTTTTAAGCATTGGCTCTGTCTCTGGCTTGTTTTCCTTTAACCTGCCGCACATCAATCACAGCCGCCAACAAGATTAAAATTAAAAGACTTCAGAACTACCTGCTACAAGTGAGATCCTTCCCAGACGACATTGCACTCCTTATTTTTCATACTAGCGTGGATCAAATAAAATTTTATCTAACCCAGCAGCATTATCTGCCAGTGCCGGAAGATAATTTGACTGAAGAAAAAACAAAAAAAACAAAACATGAAATGAGCTCCCCAAGCCTGGATAGGAGATAACATCACCTGCCGAGCTTGCACTTTGCCTCAAACTTATTTTGTTCAACGTGAGCTTCGATTAATGATTCTGGACGCTTGACAAAGACGCAGGAAACATCTGCAGAGAGCACAAATGTTGTGTGCTACAATATTAAATCAGCGCTGCTCAGTCAACTTTCCCCAGACCAAGGAAAGGTTATTAAATCAACAGAGGAAATGGTGTCGAGGCTGTGGAGCGTGGCTTTGTTTATTTACAGCGAGGAGAGCGCACAATCAGTCCGCCTCCCGCTGCAGTGCAGCCATTTTCTCAAGGGAAACTTAACGTTTCTCCAGCAGCCCTCCAGGCCAGAGACTGACCTCTCTACCGGCTACATTACTGACTCAAGAGATGGAGGAAAGGAGAAGCTGCGCCTTTCCACTCAGTACGTTTGGAATGCAATATCAGACCGTAGGCTGCAGTGATCCCAGAGGTTTGTTTACACAGTTTCACACCTGAGATTTTTATCAGCCTCTGCAGCTCTGAAAGAGAATCAAGCTATTCATGAACATTTACTGGTTGCGATGGTTTTACTATGTCGAATTTAAGACTACGAATTTAATGCCTTATTTGACCTAGTTTCCCTCTGAGAACTGAAACTGAAAAGAAGGACTTTGATCTAGATCATGCTTTTTAATAATTGGCTTTATTTTAAAACCATATTTCTTTTAGTTGGGATTGGATTTGCTGACGCATGAAAGAGCCCTTTGTTTCCAAGTTGTTCTGTAAAGTCACACAGACTTAACTGCAAGTGGACCAGTTATGTTTTACATTATACGCTCTGATTTTTTTTGCTTTTTATAATATCTTGATTGTCCTGATTGCCAGGACCTGGGTGAACAAAAAGAAAAAGAATAGAAAGATTTAAAAACCATCCAAAAAGTTAAAACCAAATCAGCAAATAAGCACTGAATCATAGTTAACGCTGTTTAGAAGTCTTTAAATAATGATTTAGCGGGCTTCAATCTGCAGTTTGTGACATAATTAGATAATTACCGGCTGAAATGTTGAAACAGTAGTAGTTATTTCCTTTTTTCAAAACGTTCAAGCTGTTATTTTTGTAAAACGGCTAATGGCTACAGGAGGCTAATATGATACATTTATTAGCCTGCTAATTCAAAAACCAGAACTGCTAAGATAACAGTTGTAGTTTTTGCAGAAACAACTACACTGGTAGAAACCTTAAAAAGCTGTTGAATGCAATGTGTACGTCTGCTATAAATATTTCTGATTTTAGGGAGCAAATGGAAAATGTAAATAAAGGTAAGAATGGAGCTAATGTTTTAATATATGACTATAAATACTGCTTAGAACAGCTTCAAAAATAGAAAATCTTGTTGCTTTTTGGCAGTTTGAGGTACGTACACTCTAAGAAGGGAAACGAGACAACGTGATGCATCTGGCAGCTCAGGAAACAGACTCTGATGAGTTGATTTAATCCTAGAAATGAGTGGAGACTGCTGTCTGCAGACAGATAACCCTCTGTAACATTATCACCTTTATGTGGATAAAACAAGCAAGATAAAACATGTAATCGCTGAACTTTAGAGTCGATCGTTTTCTCCTGTCTCAAGTCTTAAAGCTAATCTGTGACAACTCGCTGCATCTAAATCTCATCAGGAAAGCTAATAATCTGTTTTTAAGGTGGAGGCACATTAGAAAGACTGTTGACAATCTCATCCTTTTTCTGGGGACTGATTTCCTCAGGTACCGATGAGCATGACCGTTATTAGCTGGGTGTCACACTGACCTATGAGGCTGTCTGGGCGGGGCAGAGCGCTCCTCTGGTACAGGCCGTATGGATCGGTGCCGTACGCCAGCGGCTGGCTCTGCCTGGGGAGGGTGGAGCCGTAGTGCTGCGGCACCGCCGTCATTCCTGAGCGCAGCGGTGACCCCATTGAACCCCTCCCCTCGATCAAGGAAAGGGAGGACCCCAGACGTCCTCCACTTCCTCCTCCTCCTCTTTCGCCTCCTCCTAGTCCAACTCCTCCTACAATTCCACCTGCACCACCCCCTCTACCCTGGGTGCTCTCAGTCGGGGAGGTCGGCGACGGGCAGGAGGGCGGCATGGTAGTGCCTGGGAAAACAGCGGCCAGCGGTTTGGGCTCAGACAGGATGGGCGAGTCATACGTGCTGCCTTGGGATGTTCGCAGGGAGATGCGGGAAGGTGAGACTGTGCCGGCAGTGCCGCAGCCAGGAGACTGGCTCCTGGAGGGGAGGGAGGCCATCCTCCGTAACACCCGGCTGGAGGCCTGGGAAACCAAGAGGAGAAGAAATATTACAGTTTACCCTTCCAGAGAGTAGAGTGTGACATTTTATTCATCTGATAATGAGGCATGAATTTTTATTACACCTTCCTAAAGTGCCCTTTGCATCTCACAGGTCATTACGTTTGTGCAAAAACCATTAAATTGCCCTTATGTGCTGTTTAAAATGTGCATCATGTTCAGTGATGTGCTTGGAAGGGTGCAGAGAAACGAAACAATTAAAAACACTGAAAATCCGTATTCTTATTTTGGATAATTGAAATTAAATAAATATTCCAGTAGTCCTGCCTGCCTGCATCATTATTAAATGACATTTAATGGCATTTTATTCATTTCTAATTAACATTCACTTGATTCTTTGCTCCTCTGTGACTAAAAATGTCAAGTATAATACCCGTAACAGTGTTGACAATTAATCACTTCAGCATTTTGATTTCCTAAATAAATACCTGACAAATGAACATTAAATTCTGCACACTGCGCCTCTCCCATTTGCAAATATACTCGCCAATTAGGAGTAATGCCACACTCTCAGACAGCGCACTTCATCACGTCTGATGAAGAGCATCGTTATCTTTTCCATTTGTCCAAGAAGCTGAACGTGCTTGCCTCTGGGAAAACGTCCTAATTCATTACACTTCAGACTGAGCGTCACTTTTTAGGGAAGACTTGACAGAATTTTCCTGATTTATGGTGACAAACATTTTCCCTTTTTTCTTCTTCTCCTCATTTATGAAATATAGAATGTCTTCTAATTACAGACTCAGCCAACTGGATGCCGATCTGTGCCGCCTTAATCCATCGCAGCCTCGAACGCCTCGAAGGGAAATTAAGAGCGGAGACATGTAAGCCCATCCAGTGAGGCTGCTGGGTTTGGAATAAATCAGGAGAAAATTCAAACAGGCTCACCATTATCTGTCATTCCTACTCCTACTTTCATTCTAAGTGCGTATAATTATTAGCCACAAAGAAAGGAGCTGATAATGTTTGAGCCTGAGACATTTCAAGGTAGAAGTGGTTTTGATTTGAAGGGTTTAGCTGATGTTCTTCGTCGCTCATGACAGTAATTACCGAGCCTCAACCAGCTGTCATTACTTTAAGAAAGAATATTATTGCTTAGAGCAAAGACATACATATTTTTCGGGTGGCAACGCTCTGAAAACCAATCAAATGTGGGAAACCTGAATATGATTTCTCCTCATGAGGTTCAATTACCTGCGCCGGAGCTTTGATCGTGTTACTCGATGATTCGCTAGCAGCTGGAATTCACCGTGTTATCGCCAACTTAGCGACTTTATCGCTATATTTAGCGAGTTTTCAGACCCCCTTAGCGACTTTTTTTTTCTAAAAAGCGACTAGCGACAAATCTGGCGACTTTTTCTGGTATTACTGGAGACTTATTTATGACGACTTTTTGACGTGAAAACACGTATCGCTCTTACTCTCAACAGGCAGCGGTGCTGCCTTGGGCACCTTGCCTGTACCAAAGCGCTCACAGGCGGAGGATAGTCCTCCCCCACCTGCTATCAGGGCAGGAGACGTTCACACCTGTGCGTCCAAACGGCAAATGAATCGCGCATGAGCGAAGCCGCTGCTCCCGCACTGACTGTAACGCAGTCAGTTCTTTTATTGTTATGCTGTTTTGTGAATCACAAGGTTTAAAACTACTTATAAACACACACAAAGTAACGCCACCAGAGTGCCAGTTTCGAGTCACTTTTGCCGGTCCAAGCCCGGGTAAAGGAGCAGGGTTGGAATTGTGACATTAAAAAACAATAATTGCTAAAAGAAATTTAATTTGTAGTTCTAAATAAATTTAACTGCATTTAGGACGTTTTTTTACTCACTTTGTCTCTTCCACGATGTTATTTCTCTCTCCAACAACGCAGGTTACAATTACATTAGCATGACCAATTGTGCAAATTAGGCGATGACGTCATTTGGCGACTTCTAGCGACTTTTAGGACAGCCAATAGCGATTTTCCTTACTGAGGAGTTAGCAACACTGGTTGTCCTAATTTGCTTTAGTACCAACGTCCAGTGTACAACTATAGTTAATGTTGCCTTTAATGAGTTCCCTGTGCTGAGTTCATTGGTACGCTACTGCAGCGAGAGAAAATGTCTCTCCTGCTTTGCATCTGCGATCTAACATAGATATTTTTGCACTTTTATAACTGTTGCTACATTTCTCTATGAGTGTAAAAATCATAGCTGTGACTATGCACACCGATTCATGGGTGTGGTTGAAAGTAGCTCGTTAATTAAATGTGTCACATAGCCTGTAAAGGTGGCACATACATTTTGTAATCATACAGGACTGACTCTGGTAGTACCCTTTATGAACTGGCAAAGCACTAACATTTATGTTCTCCACAGTAAGGGATGGATCTAAAATATTGGTTTAAGACATTTTTACACATTTGTATTTGTGGTTTTCACCTTTGTGCTCTTAATCTTACTAAATGTGGCTGAAAAGCTAAGTGGACACAGAGGTAAAATCTTACCCTGAGCTTTTCTTTCTAAGGTTAGTGACTTGTGATGTAACCCTTTGGAGATCAGGCCTACCTGCCCAGAAGCTTGACCCTCTGCTCTTGGGCTTCTGGATATTGATGCTCGGGGCTCCGAACGCACTACGTTCTGGTTGCTGTAGTAACTGACGCTGCTGTCCTGGTAGCCGCTGTCAGAATACGAGGTCATCTGGACCGAGTGACCTCCTGAGCCTGGAAGGAAAGCACAATAAGAGGCCTCAGTGCTTCTTGTGACACATTAAAGCAGGACGTGGTGTGATCAAACCACAGCCACCCCGACATCAGTCACTGCGGTTTACTGCGATTTGCATAGTATCTCACTCGGCTTTCAACTTGTTAAAAAAATATTATGCGTATAAATACATACACGCGGACATCTGCATTAAGCCGTTCCTGGAACAATCTGCTGGCCTACTTTCTCCTGTAGCACCAGGAGGAGGAAGCGTGGGTGATATTTTTACACTTCCAGTGCACTCCAGCTGTATGCAATATAAATAAGACCAAAGGCAAGTTTGTTTTAAACATTACAAATCGCTACTCAGATGTTACATATTTACTAATGGTACCGATAATAAATGTGGAGGGAGAAGGAGGCCGAGTCTTTTTCTGCGTCGTGCTTTAAAAACATGAATAAAACCAGCAAGTGTTCTGCACATATAAGAATTCACAGCTGCACCCACTGCTTCGCTTTGCTGGCCGTCCAACTTTTTTGTGGTTTAACACAAGCTTCTGAGGTAGCTTGATGGACCAAAGTGTCAAACACTCCAGTGAAGATGCCTAATGTCCAACCGCTGTTGGACATTAGGCAGGCTGTGGCTGTAATGCAAAGCTCCCACGAGTGAATACGTGGGAAACATTTCCGCCAAACATGGCAGACTATAAAAAATAAAACTCAGACAGCAGAGCGGAGGCGGATATCAGGTTCTGGGTATTTTAGACTCATCTGAAACAGTGTGGGGCCTTTGGCATCTCTTAAATGTGATCAGATTGTCCAGTGTGGGTTCAGAATTGTGGACTTATATTCACTGGTTGGTAAAATGCTGCTGTGAAGCCTCGGGCTGAGCTTTGGCTCCCTCAGCATCTGGTGTTTAGACTTGATGAGAGAGGGGTGGATCTGACTGTGAAGCTGAAGGATGCTACATGCTTGTATGGTAGACATTCCTTAAAACTTAGTACTGTAAAAAAGCCTTGAGCCACCCCTCATTTCTTGTCATTTCTTCAAGTAGTCTTCAGGAATATTTCTCCAGGCTTCTTGAAGGACATCCAAAGCTCTTCTTTGGATGTTTTGTTCTGTTCTCTGTCCACATGATCCCACACTGCTTCAATAATGTTGAGGTCCAGGCTCTGGGAGGCCAATCCATGACTGATAGTGTTGCATTTTGTGTTACTGCATTGGCAGTGTGTTTGGGCTCATCAACATCCAAAAATAAAGATGGTACCCATCAGATCCTTTTCAGATGATATTGCATGCTGGATGAAATCCCGTTGTTTTGCAGCCACAGGAAAGTGTATCCCGCAGTGACAGAGCAGACCATGAACTCCTTTGTATACCAAAGTATTCTAGAGGCCATCTGTCCAACAGCTAAAGCTTGGCTTAAACTGGGTCGTGCAACAGCACAATCACCCCAAACATATCAGGAAATCTACAACAGAATGATTGAAAGAGAAAAGAACGAAGGTGTTGCGATGACCGAATTTGGACAAAAATTCCTCCACAAGAATATGAGAGATATATTCAAGTTACTGCTGCTAAAGGTGGTTCGATAAGCTATTGAATCAAGGGGTGATGTTGTTAATATAAATCATTTTAGGACCAGAAGATTTTGCTTTGTCCCAGTATGTAAGATTACAAGAGGGTGTACTTATTTTGCTGCATGGCTGCAGAGTAAACTAAAAATGCTGGTGTTTTCCAGAATCTGCACTCAACATCATGAACTTTAGTCCCTTCCTAAAGCATCGTTTAAACCGTGTGCTGAGTATATTTAACAGACCCTCACTGCCATGTAGGGATGCTCGGTCCGGCTCCGGCAGGAAGAGTCCCTCCTCTGCTTCCAGGTGACGACCAGGACATCCAGACCCCTCTGTGGCTCCGCCCTGAGACTCTCCGCCTGTTGTACGATTAAAAACATGCAAAGACTCTAGCATTAATGCACGTACTTCACACACATAGATTCACACGCATTGAAAAACACAGGTATGGCAAATCAACAGCATCATCTCTGCATCAGTTCTTTTTATACCACTTCTTTTATTTCAGGGGAAAGATGACAGTGAAGAATGGGATGGAAATCTGAGGAAAGGGATCTGTGACAGAATAGTAAATGGACCCAATTCAAAGCTTTTATACATACAGTATATATACTGGCAGAAACATTGCTTTGCTTTGCTTGACCGGCTGGTGCTGCATTCTGGCAATGTTCAGCCTTTTGGAGGCTATTATAGCTTTCTCATGTTAAAAAACAAAGTTCTTTCAGCGGCCTAATCATATACACTTCATCCTATCTGAAACTACAGCATTTACCATTTAAATGAAAGTACCGCAGGCATGGAATAAAACTCCACTGAGCATCACTGAAGCTTTTTGCCTTCATGTAGCCTTCATGCCAACACTTTATATTACCATTTTGTATCTTTTATTTATTACATAATGTTAAATGTTAAACAAAAGAAGTCATACCTGCGGATCTCCATGCAAACGACTTCTCGGATGAGCTTCGGCAGCAGAGCAGATGAGGAAATGGAGGAGGCGAGAGAGCAGAGAGAGAGGTAAATCAAATTAGAGTCACTGTCTACATCCGATCAGACCAGGAAGAAGAAGGAAGACGGTAGAGAAGATATAAGAAGATAAACTGGATAGGGAACCATCTCGTGAAAAAAAAAAAGCATCCAATACACAAGAACAATGAAGAAAGTAACGCTGTGTGAGTTCAAGTCACTTTTTACACAGACTGACTGAAGTCTGAGGAAACACCTGCAGCTGAAAACAAATCATTTATACTGAAATGAACACCGAAAACCCCCCATACAAATACAACTACCTCTAAGAATATGACCAAAGTCAAAGCTCTGTTTAGGTCACTAGATATTGTAATGCTTATTGTCTTATGATTTGTGGACCAATGTTACAACTTGAAGCATCTTTTAAGGGTCAAAATTACAGACATCATGCATAAAGTGTCAAGTTTTCTTTAATATTTCAGCAGTTTTGTGGATTTCAAGGTTTCTGTTTGTGCTCAGAGTGATGTATGCTGGCTGTGACACCACAAAGTGACTGTCAGCTGGCTGAACATCACTCCTCATGAAGACAGATTTCACCATTATGTGGTTTGACAGAGCTTTCTGGAGCTGGGTGTGATTTACAGCCAGCTGGAATCCATATAACAACAACAACAAATATAGGTGCATTATTAGGGCTGTTTTGCTACAGATACGAAAATTAAATGAAAAAAAAAATACTTTCAAGGGGCCAGAGTTCCTTGTAAGTATGCTAAATTAAAGTTGAGCAATAATTCTAGACTTACTAAAGTTCTTTCACACTGTTTCTTTGGACATTGGCTGCTTTTACACTCATTTTCAGTCCAGTCCTAATACCTGAGCCTTTTTTGTTTGTTTGTATATTGCACAAAATCACATCATTTGTTTTGTTTTCTTTATTTGAATCTATGAAGAATGCCAAAGATAACAAAGCTGAGAGAAATAAAATAGAAACCAATAGATGCAAAAATAGGTGATTCACAAAAAGCTATTACCTGAAAACTTGCATATCTCAGCGTGCTCTGCAGTTTGTCCTTTAGGGAACTGGACAAGTGGAGGGCAAAAGAAGTGTTTCTTTTCTAACAAAAGATCGAGAAATGAGGGTGGCTCAGGACTTTTTTCACAGTACTGCACTGTATTTATTAATGCTAACATCCTTCTTCTTCTTACCCATTTATACATGCTTACACTGAAGAAACTAGGGTCCAACAAAAAATATGTCCTTGCATGTCCTTGAGTAACATCCAAAGAAAAACTCAAGGATACACTGCACATAGATGTACCACGTTTGTCAGTTAATGGGTCTTTGGTAATAATTTTCTTGGCACACAAATACTAAAATAATTTGAATGAAAATGGTCAGATACAAGTAAGGGCTGAATAGGGTGAAAAAGCAGCCAATGTCGAAAGGAAAACTCAAACGATAAGAGGTGGTCATGTGTATTTTTGTCATGAGATACTGTGTGTTTTTAATTGCAAAAATCTTCCAAATACTTGATGTGATCACTTTAGTCAAATCTACCTGCTGCTGTCTCCTTCTGGTGACTCGGCTCCCAGCATGCACCTCTCCAGCTGGCTAGCCACGATCTGCCGCTCCTCCTCCAGCTCCCGAGTCAGCCGCTCGAACTGGAGCTCCTGGGGCAAGACATTAACAGCAGTGATTATAACCCAACATCCACCATGACGCGGTGATTTAAGCCTCTTCTTTAAGACCTATTTGGTGCCAGTTAGAATTAAGTGTAAAACCCATTTTGTATTCAGCCTGCGCGGCTTGACTGATTTCTCACCGTCTGTGAGCTCGCTGAGAGGCTGTTAAAGGGGGGATTCAAGATTTTAAACACTAAGAGTGTGTCCGGCACCTTTTAACAGCATTTGGTTCAGATAATGTAATTACACACATTTTTGAAACTTTTGGTACAAAGCACAGAGGTTTAAGCACAGAATGATAAAATGTAGACTTCATGGTAAAAATTCACCACAGAGGGTGAAACCAGATGTTTCCTTTTTCTTTTATCATGAGTATTCTGGGCACAGCCTTTAATTCCACATTACTAATAGATACAGTGACACAGCACTATATCTGTAAATCTGGGGGGTTTAAGCCCTTAGAGTGAATTGCTCAAGGTGGTGGCTGACCTTTCTTATTGTTCATTCCACTTATTGTTGTGATAAACAGAATAGTGTGTGAAATCTATTGAGCTGTAAATGCAGTTTACTTTCGAAGAAGATGAAGAAAACCAGAAATTATTCACAATTTAGTAGCTGGAAACAAACTTTGTGGCATTTAAACTTTAAAAATTAGCCTGCAAGCATTTTGCAAAGTCCTCACTGACATAATATACATAATATTGTAAAGGATTTTGAAAGAATTTCACAGGTGCGCGCAATTGAGAGTGTTTGATTGCCAAATTTAAATCAGTTCACCCAAGTCTGAGCAAACATTCGTGTCGTATTTTATGCCAAAGTCGCGGAGGCCTGGAGACAAATTGTCAACTCCCCGCCTCCACAAAAATAAAATAGATTTTCACTCCCAGTAAACGTAAAGCAATAATTTTGAGTAAACTGCAACTGAAATATGTAAAAATTTAAAGGTTAATTCATTCAAATACTTATGCTTGGCATAAACTGGATGCAAACCCATCAGGTGGATTTCATTTGACCAGATTTCATTACATTTAACATTTTATACCGTTTCATGGAAAGTTAATTAAGTGATTTAAAGTCAACATTCTGGGCAGAAACTATCTTTTTGATTGTGGCAAACACTGTTTGCAAAGGAAAACTGTGTATTTCCCAACAGGTTGGAGCGTGGTTGCTGGAGGTGGGGGTCCCGAGCCAGTCTACTCCTAGTGTCCTAATGTGCTCCTAAAATCTTTGCCAAATCAAACACTGGGATTATCAAGAACAGGGGTGATTTGTGACAGATGTAAAGAAACAAAAGTGAAAGGGAAAGTTTACAAGATGCTAGTGAGAGCTGGTATGTTTTATGGTTTGTAGACAGTGGAAGTGACCAGAACTGACAGGATTAGAAATGACTTAATCAGAGGTCGAGCTGAGGTCGAGCAGTCTGGAGACAAAGTTAGAGGGACAAGGCTGAGATACTTTGCACGTGTGCAGAGGAGGGGAAAGTGGATATATTGGATAAAGGATGTTGAAGACAGAGCTGCCAGGCAGGAGGAAAAGAGGAGAGTGATGGATGTGAAGAAGACATGCAGAGGGTTGGTGTGACAGAGGAGGATGGTAGGGACAGGGGGAGATGGAGGCAGATGATTTGCTGTGCAGACTCCTAAAAGGAGCGAGAAGAAGAAAAAGAAGAAATCTGCACTGTAAACCTAATGGTTAAACATGCTGTTGCATAACGAATTTCGGTGTTTTGCACCTTTAATATTCATTATGATGTACAACAAAAGTACAGATGACAGTCACTGTTACAAAACTACAACAATTTAAAGTATTTAGTAAAGTGTAATGTGTATAAAATACCTTAGAAGGAAGCACAGAAAGCAACTTTTTCTTTTACCGGTTTGAGCTTCACAAAATGAGTGTCATTTAATTCAATTATATTTCACAGAAGACAGACATTTCTACAGCTAATATCTACCAAACTAGGCAAATCTCATCAAAACAGTCTAGATAGTTAAACATCATTAAAATATGAAAACTGGATTTTCCAGCCTCGCTCCTCAGGCTGCACCACCTGCTAAACAGGGGATGAATAATCATGTGTATTGTAGGTTAATGGGGCTCACATGCGGCCACATGTCCTCTAGTTTCCCCTAAAAACCCATCCAGTTTGTGACTATGGAGCAGTAAAATAACTCTTTTAACTAAAATTAGGGATTTGCATGATTGCAAAATGAAATTAAACACAGAAAACTGATGTTGAGTTCAAAATGTCCACAAGATTTTGTCAGCAGATCGTGTTTTGGAGAATTTTGACTACTGAAACACCAAAGCATTTAAATATACCCTGTTCACTGCCATCCCCAATAGATGGTCGGGTTCCAATACCTTGCTCAAGTTTATGAAATTGGAGCAGATGTTTATGGACTTTGACTGAATAGCAGGTATTGTTGGCACTAGCTTATTTGTATTCTGTAAAATAATACAGAAGCTTCCCAGTTGCTCCATAAATCATCCAGGAACCACAGCTGGTGTCATCACGGAGGTCCACTGGAGAATTAGCTGTCTGCAAATAATGTCTAAATATAAAACTGGCCTGCTGGAAAAATACACCTTCACAGGGAAACGTCACTGTGATTCATCCATCCATTCGCTTCCGCTTATCCTTTTTCAGGGTCGTGGGCAGTGTTGGTCAAGTTACTTTAACTAATTACTGATTACTTCCCCCAAAAGTAATCCCGTTACTTTACTGATTACTTATTTTCAAAAGTAATTAATTACTTAGTTACTTAGTTACTTTTTAAAAACACGATTTACAACCTGAATAGGTGATAAAGCGATAGATCTTTCAGCCCAATTCTACTTTTTCTGCACAATCCATCATACAAAATGTAATGAAATGGAAAAGTCCTTTTTTAAAACTTGTTTTATTAGTTTTAATCTTTTAACTTTATGCATCAAGCAAACATTTAATTATATGCAACATTCTCTGACTGGAAGAAATTTGTTTTAAACCTATTTAAACCTATTTTCTGCACATTCCAGCACATAAAATATATATATTTTTTTGTGTTTACACTCACTCTTTCAAATAGATGCAAGTAAAACACAGCAGAAAATAAATAAAGTCAAAGACTCAGCGGTCCTGTTGCTCTATTTTCACCTGTAAAGCAGGAGTAGGGTAGGCGGAGGTTTACCCTGGTGCATGTGTTACGCAGCGGTCAGTGAAAGAATCCGCGAGTTTCTCTGTGAATTTCCCATTACGTCGTAGCTACTCGGTGTTTGCTTGGAAGTTTAGGGGTTTTTTGCTGTAAAAAGAAGTTTTTTTCCCACGCACAATGCTAATGGACGCTAATGTTTTTGTCACTTTTGGAATCAAACTTAAAGTAAGGTCAGTACTTCCACACTTTAAACGCTGCACGCTCATACTCTCTCCCGCAGGCGATCCATTGTTGATCTGCACACAGCTCTTGTCATGAACATCGCACTTGCTTACGTCACTGTCATGAGACATTCTCGCAAAAAAATCACGGTTTTAGTAATGCAGTAACGCAGCGTTCCTACGGGAAAGTAACGGTAATCTAATTACCGTTTTTGCAATAGTAATCCCTTACTTTACTCGTTACTTGAAAAAAGTAATCGGATTACAGTCACTGGTCGTGGGGGGCGCTGGAACCTATCCCAGCTGTCATAGGGCGAAAGGTGGGGTACACCCTGGACAGGTCGTCAGTCTGTCGCAGGGCTAACACACAGAGACAGACAACCATTCACACTCACATTCACTCCTAGTGGCAACTTTGGATTATCCAATTAACCTATCCCCACAAGCTGCATGTCTTACCTCTCTCCTCCTCCTCTTACCTCATGTTATGTATTTTCGTTGTTTTTTTTCCTATCAGCCTACCTTTCTGACGTGTCTCCCCAATGTGATGTTTGTGTTAAGTTGGTCAGAAGGTTCCTTTGTAAGTGCACATGCGCAATTAGCGTGCTGCCTGCTGTAACCCTAATTTCCTTCGGGATTAATAAAGTATTCTGATTCTGATTCTGATGTCTTTGGACAGTGGGAGGAAGCCGGAGTACCCGGAGAGAACCCACGCAAACACGGGGAGAACATGCAAACTCCACACAGAAAGACCCCGGCCTGATGTTGGAATTGAACTCAATTGCAGCAACAGTGCTAACCACCGTGCCACCGTGCTGCCCCTGTGATTCAGGACTTCATTAATCCAATAAATTTTCAGAGGCACCAAAAGAGCTGATAGCTGCAGCTCATTATGACACCTGTGGTTTGGGTAAAAAAAACCTCACTGTATCTCATTCAAATGCTTTACTCAGGTAAAGGACCTCAGCATGCCTGTAAGTAAAGTAAAAGTACTCATTATCTTCTGGATAAATCAAATTTTATTGAATTTTTAAGAAGTTTCGTTACAGTGGCATGTTTGTTTTCTAAGGCTACGTTCACACTGCAGGTCTTAATGCTCAATTCCGATTTTTTGATCAAATCCGATTTTTTTGTCTGCTTATTCACACTACAAATAAAATGCGACAGCAAACGCGCTCTAGTGTGAACGCTCAAAGCGGCCCGCATGCGCAAAACAAGACGTCACACACAACGCGCTCTGTATAGACCCAGAGCAAACAGTATTGTTTGACTGATGGCCCTTAATATAAAGACTTCAGACTTGACGTTTCCCAATTTTTGCTTTAAGTTATTTTGTTATTTACATAATACTGTAGATAACCTAATAATTATCCTTATTGCTGTTTTAGAGGAGCGGTGCTTCAAAGGATAGCTGCAGAATCTGCAGGTTATACAGTACAAATAAAATGTTCACGTTTCTCCAACGTTGTCTTCCCAGCAGTTTCACTGGATGGCCAGGAAGCGTTCACGATGTCTTCTCCGGCACTGATAATTGGCGTCTGTCTTGTGTCAGTGACGTAAAAGACGGATTTAATGCGACATGACCGTTCAAACAGCAGTCGCTTTCTAAAACATCAGATATGTATCGGATTCAGTACCACATACGAAAGTGACCCAGGTCGGATTTGAAAATATCGGATTTGTGCTGTTCACACTGTCATACCATGAT